GGCGCAATTTGGCAAATGCCAAACGGCCATTCTATATCCAAGCTGTGGTTTCGTAACTCCTCAAGTAAGTGAAGTGGTCAATACATTCCACCACCTCTCTCTCTCTGTCATTAAACTAGGAATGATTTCAGACCAGTCCTGGGGTATCATCGTACATTTAACAGATGCGAGATACATGACACACACTCAAATTTCTGCCCAAGGCGTCAAGAAGACCCTGCATTTTGTACTCTTCTTCACCTAGCTGGACAATATCGTCCGCATACTCCAAGCCAACGAGATGCCCTCCAGGGAGTAGATCGGTCCCGGTAAAGCTGGAGCTACCTAATGTTATGTCCATTAATAAATTTCTAATGAACCTAAACAAGAACGGTGAAAGTGGCTATCTCCGGCTGTTGTCGATTCACGTAACAGGCTTTACACGGCTGAGTGACTTCGAGTAGAGTTTTGGGTTACATTCTTAGTCGGTACTGCGTTTACAATTAGGTACTTACAGTCGACAGAGTTGAATACCGACTTCAGGCCAATATATGTGGCGTGTTGACCACCGGTAAGTATGCCTCTGTTTCAGAACCTATCGAGATCTGCTCAGGAAACCTCGTCCAGGTCTGTACCCTTCTGGCTTTTGTGAGCTCCAGTTAGACTTCGGATAACTATGAACTTTAGGATCTTGAACATGATGTTAGTCAAAATGATTTCTCCAGTGGTTGCCACAAGAAGTCTTCTCTCCCTTCTTAGGGACTGGAATGATCAGTACAGTAGATCAGTCCGTCTGGGTGCCTCTTGTTCCATATACTGGCTAGTACCTCGGTTGCTCCATTCTTAAGAACTTCTGCTGGCTAATCGAATTGTCCTGCTGCTTTGCGTCATTTCAAGTTGGAAGCAACTTTCTTAGCTTCGAGGAAAGCTGACGGAACAACGTCTACGTCCCATTCAGGTTTGGGCTAGATGTTGAGCAACTGAACTGCTGCTGTGGGCTAGTTGAACTTTGCTTCAGTGTTCCGCCTAACATTCTAGACGTCTGTCCTGAGTGGGTTATCAAGGTGCTAAGTCTAGCCAATATATGATAACTTGAAAATTAAACTACCAAACCCATTCGAATTTGCTTATCGTTTATGCAGTTTTATTTTTATGGGCTTTTGTATGAACCTGGTTAATGAAAGTCAACGCAAAATGTAGTTGGTGGCCAAATTTTGATGGTAAGCATATCGGTGGCTACTAATACCACATAGGTACCTATGAAAGTGGGGCTGTGGCTCACTGTTCTACACAGCTGAATTCCAACCAGCTTGTCTTGGGCTGGAATCCTGGCCTACGTACGGGCTTTTAGGAAGTTAGGTAGTATCATGGACCCTCATGTAGTACGTGTGACATTGCTCAGTGCAACAAATTACATTTGGTTGCTAATATACACTTACTTGTGCCAATGAATTAGTGTGGTCTATTACTGCATAATAATGTTGGGCTTACAGTTAAATTTAAAATTGTCAGAGAACAACTGTCATTTTTAGTAGTTGGCATGTGCTGAATATTGCAAATAGGTTTCGAACCCTTTCTGCGATCAAGGTTGAAAAATAGAGCTACAGGTCTTTGTTTTTGGCTTTCGATTCCTGACATTTTGGTCATGCATTAGAACGTGAGTCTGCGTACCATTCTCTAGGTAGTCTTATCAGTTAACCAGCATACTGTTTATTGAAATCTTATTTCTACCAAGGCTACAGTTTTCGAGAAACACAGATATGTGCAGCAATATCAGGAATTCATTACCCCGATAACTTAGTAAAAAAAAATTTGTAAGTGTCCGCGCTTATTTTTCTTGTTGTTGAATCACATCAACTCAACGGATAATTAAAGATATTTTACTGTACGTTTCTACCTACTGAAATGTTATGTCAAATTTAAATATAGAACTAACAATTAATTATATTTTTGTAAGATTCTGGTTTCGTCGCATTCACACACTAACATATAGTATCGCAGATGTTACGTTGTTTTGTAAAATGTTCCTCGAAATAAATTGTTTTACAAATCGCAGACCTGTCAGTCACCGTTGCCTTACTTCTAAATCCTAAGGTAAATCTTCCCGTTCCGATTGGTTTTAAATGATCATATGTTCTAGAATTCAGTTATAGACACAAGAGTTTGTCAGGATTAACCACTTTCGCTATCGTACTAAAAACAGAAAAGTTATATCGAGAAGGATTTTTGTGTAATTGACTTAATTCATCTTATTCAATTTGGGTACTTTGCATTACGGTGTTATTAATTTTCTTATGTTGAAAATGTTGACAAACGACTATTCTCAAGTGATCACAGTCCCAAGTGCTTGCATCACCTTCAGTTTGTATTGGTCATACCACATAACTAAGAATCCTCGATAGTCGTTCATATGTTATTGATGTTCTTTTAACGTGCACTTGCTCACTGATAGCCTGATCATTGTGTCTACCAAATACCGACGATCAGCAGGCTGTGGAAATTTCTGACATAAAGAATAATCACTATGGTAATTTAAGTATTGGTATATCCTTCCCCCCCCCCCCCCCCTACATGCAGACGCTCATAATCTGGTCTCACTGTTCCAATACTCCTTATGTGGTGTTACTTCCTAATTATATTACTAACAAATGAAAGGTTGAGTAGTTTGTGCCTTCATTGTAATTTACTTTGAGATTTACTTTATTATACTTCTGAGCGAGACTGTACACAACTGTATTTCTATCATGTATTATTTTAACGAAAATTCTCAAAATTTACTTTTCGTGAGAAATAGCAAAGTACTTAGCATCGTTATTGTATCCTATTAGTAACCGTTCAAATTCCAGACTAGTAAACTCTTACGAGTTAAAACTAAGGCTTAATGACCTATATATAGAAGGGGATGAAAAAATGGTTAGTTTCGATGTCACAAGTCTATACCATAATACCAATGAATATGGCACTGGAGGCAGTCAGAAATCAACTAAATACTCACTCAGAACTTACTCATAGAACTAATATATCGGTTGATGAAACCATACTAGACGTATAATTGTACCTGACTTCCAGTTTCAGGGCAAAATATGTAAACAAACAAGGAGTAGCAATAGGACCACCAGTATCCCCAATCATAGCAGATATATTTATAGATAGTTGGGCAAACATTACTTTACACCTAAAATATGGTGGCAACATGTAAATAACACATTTCCTGCTCTAAAATCGGGACATACAGACAATTTCTCCACACATAAACTCAGTAGAAAGCGCTATCCAATTAACCTACGAGGTAAAAAATGAACAGGTAGAATTACCTGTACATGATAAAACGAAGGACAGGCGGTGGTTTGGATACTGCCTACTACAGAAAACCGACATATTCCAACAGGTATCTAGACTTCAAGTCATCTCATCCAATGTCATCTAAGTCAGGTTTAGTCAAATGTCTAAATGATAGAGCTGGAAAAGTGACTAGTCAGTGCAAGGACCTAAACAAAAAACTGAAGCATTTCAAAGAAGTGCTAATAGTTAATAACTATCCTTCGCAGTTTATTAAGAAATTCGTGCGAACACATGAGAAACAATATAATAACAGTAACACGAGTAAAAAGGAATTCACAGCCTCCATTATGTTACCCTATAAGGAGGATACATCGGAAACTTACATAGGATCTTCAACGAAGCTGGAATTAGAGTAGCATTTAAACCTACAAACTCACTCAGAGGTGAGCTTTGTCAGTTTAGAGATCCGATGGAACCAACCAAGCAAAATAATCTAATCTATCAAATTCCACGTAATGACTGCGAAGTCAAGCACGTAGATCACATATACCCGATCGGGCTCAATTACAATAGTGTAACATAGGAATCTAGCTAAATGTAGAATGATAGACCAGAATAAGATCAATAATCTAGAAACAACTCGGCTATTGCAGTGCACGCATTAACACAACCACACATTAGGGTGGAATAAAGCCACTGTTCTTAAGTGCAATACTGAATCCTTTTTCATCGAATCAACACCCAACATGTGTAATAGGAACGATGCATCGCCTATACCAGAGATGTGGAAAATTTTGCTACCAATAGAAACAAAGAATAAGAGGAGACAGGACTATAAAAAGCAGATGTCGAAAGTAGTGGGATTACATTGATATGATCATGAGCAGTAATAATTTATGCTCGGAACGTCATCAAGTAAATAACACTGTATCACTGTGTGTTATAAATCAAATAAACAAATCTAATATGGAATTAAATTCTACCACAGTGTCAAAGTTCTACACTTAATTAAATATCACCACTTTTACAGTTAGATTCGTTTAATACGATGAATCTGTCGATTAAAAGACAGTTTACTACTGCGTAGTAACTATCTTCACTTGTAGGCCATATCTAATAAAGTTTCAATCTACAAGGCCTTGAATGCATAGTAATCTAAAAAGCAGCGAAGCCTTCCGCTTGTCTCACGTACTACATATAAAGATGAACCACTGAAAGTGACAGGCTTGAACACTCAATTGGTTAATGCTATGGATCTTGGTGATATGTGTTACATTTTTCTGTTAGTCGATAATAATGCTTAATTCATTTTGTAATTCAAGAATATTTCATATCCCATAATTGATGCTCACAACTTCGCTTTTTCTTTTCTTTTCAGGTCTCTTGTACTTCGTAAAAGCGCCATATGGCCACATGATAATTTGTGATTTGTTTTTGTGTGTGGCTTCTGACATTTTCGACAGTGTTTATTTATTTTTCTAAACATAAGTATCCATCTACTACTTGCACAGATCTTGTGTATTCTGATTTCAGTTTCGGTCTCCTACCTCATTTGATGAAAGCGCCTTTTAGTTGTGCATCCTAACTGGTTCTGATATTTCATTTAATATTATTTAACATCGTTACATTTATTGCTATTATTATCAGTGTTATTATTATTGCTGTTGTTAAACAAATTCTATAACTCATCCGTGTTATCCAAAACATTCTAGAGTTGTTCTCTTTACCTCAACTATTCCATGTCTGCTTCTTATATTCGTCGTGATACACTTGTTTCTAATCCGTGTTCTTTATCGATACTTTCTGGACCATCCATAAGCGCCAATGAGCATAAGGATGCTTCTTCTTCTCTTTCTACGATTAGAGCCTATTCTGATCAAGCGATGCCTTCAAAACATAGTCCAGCAGCAGGTGGTCATCTACAACAACCTAATCAAGGAGGTATGCATTCACCTAAAATGTCACCTGATTCAACTCTTACCCAATTATCAACACCATCAAGCTTTGTATCCTATTTAAATTCTACAACAAATCTTAGTGCTTCAAATGGTAATCCAATCACATGTGACAGTTTTCTTCGATCAGCACTTTTATCTGATGGTCTAGACAAACAGTGTGTTGGCAGTTCAACAAACCTTGGTATATCAAATTTTCATGATCCATCAACACTATCTAACATTCAACAGTGTTCATTGTTACGTCCACGTGCTATGACAACGTCGAATGCATCTAGATCAGGCACACCTGTTGGAAATACACCTACATCTGGTTCTTCTGCATGTGCATCTGCACCGACTAGTACAACACCAATAAAAAATCTTCAAGACGTAATCCTTGGGGTTCAGAAACGTATTCAGATTTGATTTCTGTAGCAATACGATCTTATCCAGATAAACAAGCAACTTTACAACAAATTTATGACTTCATCATTACTCATTATGAGTATTTTCGGGAACGTAGTGATCCAACTAGTTCTGCCGGATGGAAGGTTAGTTCAAATGCCTTTCCTTTCATCACTGTTATTTTTGTTTCATATTGAAAAATGTTTTAAGGCCTACTCACAAGTGCTCTTTTCACATCTGCGATAAATATTTCAATAGACTAATCGGTATCTTCGATTGTATTGTTCATTGTGTAATTCTAATAGGGATCTAGTGATTTTGAAATCTACTTCGCCTTAGTCAATTGGTTAACATTCGTCATAAGTTGTCATACAATCTGGCTTCATAGCCTTATGCCTAAATTTTTACCGGATTGTTGAGTTGCATTATTCGTTATACTCTCATATGTGTAGTGTGAGATAATTTCATGTGTCATAAAATTATACATTCCTTCATGTGCTGAAATGTTCTTATTTTAAAGTTCTTTGTACTCTATCTAATTAGAATTCATCTGCAGGCTTTAGTTTTTTCATTCAATAGTTATTTGTTTACACTAAGCGTATTATAATAGCTTAAAAGCACTGAAACATTTATCTTCATCCTCTCTATGTTGAAAGATAAAACCATTGGATTATTGATGTGTATAAATGAATACAATGTACAATTGTCTACTGAAATGAACTATACGATACATTTAGCAAACTCTCCTCTTGTTTTTTACATTTTTCCCCTTACATTTAGTACTTGTTTATAACTTCGTCATCTGAAGCCCTTCTTTAGTTCAACTTTTTGGCTACTTTCATCCATCATTTTTTGGTAATTAGACAACTATTCCTTTCCTCAATGACCTTTCTTCTAAGGACACATTTTAGACAGGTCTTGTATGGTAGTGGTTACTTATATATGTTAATGTTTATCAGTCATGGAACTGACCGCCCTACAGACAGATGGGAAGTTAGCTCAGGGCCAACAGACATTAATTGCTTAGGTTACAATACAATACATTTTCCGTATTTCTTTCAGGATCATTTTATTAACTGTTACTATTCTAGTGGCCTGCCTCTACATATCTCATCTTAATTTGTTTGTCCTATTTCCCAACTTTTTTTCTACCCTGTTGACCAAGTTTCCCTTTAGTCAGCATTGCAGCCTGTCGTTTAAACATCAGCATATGAACTTTTATATAATCATAGACGCAAGGTGTGGTTGTTTTTCTGTACGGAATTTTTCCACCCACGATAAAATAGAAGCAAATATTACTACCCCTTTGTTTATAAAATTTTATATATATATATACATATATATATATATATATATATATATATATATATATATATAACCATCTGGCGTTGTGTATCATCGTCTCAGACATCGTTGAACACCGAGTGATTGTTTTGATCGTTTCAATTCTATTCACTTATTGGTTTAGAATTATCAATAAACAAGTTCCTCTTTATTTCATCCAATCGTGGATGCAGTCACGTTTCAGATTTGTTTTTGTTCCGTTTTCGCATACTTTTACATTATTTTCGCTTTGAAAAATGCCTTTATTTCTTTAGTATACCGTAGATACGTAGTATATATATATATATATATATATATATATATATATATGACGGAAAAGATTTTTAGCTCAGGATGAAGTTGATGGTGGTTTGGTGTTTTCTGAGCGTGATATTTTATCTTAAACGTTTCATCATAAGGCTTAGTGACATCTTCAGGGCTAACTTCATAAAGAACTGAAGCATATTCGAATATTACGCGAATGTGTGGTAAAAAATTTCTTCCCCAACTTACAATTCGACAACACCCAAGGTCAATAAATACGCAGTCTAAACATTCGTGTGGTATTCGACTATGCTTCACTTCTTTATGAAGTTACTGCTGAAGATGTCACTAAGCTTAGTGCTGAAACATTCATGACAAAATATCAAAGCTAAGAGAACATCAAACCATATATATATATATATATATATATATATATATATATATATATATATATGAAGGCTACTGCGAATGATTTGATTTTCAACTATACCACTAAATGCCTGAAACCAATTGGTTCGTAGTATCAGGTAAATACACTTCACTTGTAACCTGATGTAATTACGCATCTGATCAAATTGTTAAACTTTACATCATATCGAGTAATAAGTTATTAGATAAGAAAACAGTGGAATTACAATACTTTTATGAGACATTGGGAAAGCTGTAAGGCAAAAATAGTTGGTAAAAGGAACAATAATATTTCACAATAACATTCAAGATTTAGATATAAAGATAAGGTGTGTAAGGATATATCGTTATGAGAACATTTAATGTCACATTATTCAAGTTTCTAATCATTAGTATCGGCTGTCTGGTGCAATCTAAACATAAGGCGTGCATCAATAGACAAAGACTTCATTAATAAGGATCATATCTTTATCTGAGTGTTCTACTTTTTTCTATAATAATAATAATAATTATTATTACTTGTCCCTTGGGTTCCTAGTGGAAAATAGGGATTCAGTAGCACGCCTCCATTCCACTCTCTTCTCTGCAGTCTTCTCTTTTAACCTAGCGCCACCACTGCCCACAAGCTTTCATTTCCTCCTCACATGATCTCCTCCATGTCAGCCTGGGACACCCAGTTCGTCGTTTCTCATTTGGATTCGATTCAAGGGCCTGGTGCATAATGTTCTCAAATAATCTTCTCAGTGTATGCCTGATCCATCTCGACTTTCTTCTGGAGATTTGTTGGGCGACGGGTTCTTGGTTGGTTCATTGCCTGCCTGCCAGCTAGCCAGCCAGCCAGCCAGCCAGAGTTCCTCCTTGCTTAATCTTATTATTTTGGCCATCTAGTCTTCATTATTGAGTGAGCGTAGTCGGGAGCTGTTTGATGATGTATGTCTGTAGTTTGTTGGAAATGCTTTTCGTGACTCGCCAAGTTTCTGAGCCATGTAGAAGCACTGACTTGATGTTGGTGTTGGGAATCCGTGTGTCGTTCACGCTTTATGCTGAGTGCATTGCATTGCAGTGCAGTAGATCTGCACACTGATTTCAGATTAGTGGAGGAAGGCCTGTCTTGCTATCTTTCCGATCGTGTCTGGCTTTGACATCGTGATCTGTGCCTGTGTCGCGTGTAGTTGAGACGATGCTGCCTGCCTGTGTAGGTAGGTAGATAGGTGAAAAAGACAGCTTCGTTTAGGTTTCTCCTGTTAATGGTTATTGGTGCTTGTTGTTGTTTGTTGAGTATTCTCATCACCTCTGTCTTCTCTACGTTCACTTGTAGTCCCGTTTTCGCTTCCTCTTCTTCGAGTTTGTCTACTTTTTTCTAGCACAATCCTATTTCAGTCAATGTAGCACATTATAGTTGATGGTGTTAGATGCATAACATATGTCTCAATTATCTGGGTTGACAAAATTTTATAAAGTCGCATTGATTTTCGCATTACTCATACGATGATTCTATCGTGCGGTGGATATGCTGCAAAATCAACAGTAACCAAATAATTGTGGTCGCAAACCTTCCACATTGAATGATCACTTTCCAAATCCAAATAGTAATAACATTCATGATGTACGAAGCACACTTTAGCAAGGATTTAATGATTATTTAAATATCATGCCGGCCTCAAAAGTGGTGTTTTCTGGTAAAATTTGAATAAGGCTTTTTGTATTGATACTGAGATTTTATCAGTCACCCACTCAGACAGGCTAGTATAAACTATCAAGTGGATAGAGTGGCTGATGTATTTAGTCACATGGCTACCTAGGTCGGGGTCAGTTGTGGAGCGAGAACTCGGATTCAGGAGATAAGAAACGCATCATAATCTTCAGGTTGTTAGGAAAGCTTTCGAGTTTGTCAATATCTTCACTTAACAGGACTATGTTATTTGCTCACTCTCAGCTCTGTCTTCTCTTTGTAAATACTCAACATGACTGAGATCAACGGGTAATGGCATCGTAAACTTATAACATGTTTTTTCTTCCAGAAAAATCGTATTACTGCTAACGGTTTGCGTCGAATTCAACCGTGGCTCGGTAGGCGCAACACGTTTCACCCACCTCAGTCACTGCATGTTCACATTCTCATCGATTGCCTTGGCTTCTTTGCTTACAATCATGCATTCACGTCTCTTAGTGAAGTCACCACATTACTTCTATATGTATGGAGCTGTGGTTCATTGGTCTAGACACCTGAATACCATTCAGTGGGTTATAGATTCGAACCCAGCTCCACCTACCAAGGTTTGGGGCGGCCACGTACCATGATTAACGCTCACACAATTGGTGTGGTTCATTGCCTACCGCATATATATATATATATATATATATATATATATATATATATATATATATATATATATACTATTGATTGTTGAGTGCATTTCGTTACTTTTTGCGGTTTCCTACATACTACGAATACATTTGTGATTAAGTGCATACAATTTGATGTCTTTCATCTTCGATGATCATTTTTCAAAGCTATTAAATATAAATAACCGCTTTAGTGTGCACCATAGTCAGATATAACAATGGGACCAGGGATGGCATGCACTGGTAAGTGCTAAGTAACCCATTTATATTTCGAAGGTTGCACCTGCGACCAACCCTCTAGGACTGATACATCTTTCCTAGTAACTAATTTACTCACTTCACCCCTTATTCTTAGACCAGGAGTTGTTTCATACCAGTCCTACAGCATCATCTTGCATTAGACAGGTGTAAAATCCAAATTAAACTTACCATCGTCTTCTCATGGGGTTCAGATTATCCGGCTGATCATCGACATTTTCACCTAATGGGAATATGCCATGTTCATTTCTAAAGCTAACTACATTTCTGAGAGGTCCAGAGGTAAGTAAGGTTATCTACACCAGTTTGTCTGTAATGAAGGTGAATAAGAGCGGTGAAAGTAGAAATTCCTAGTGGACATCACTGTCCGTAGTTAACTCATATGAGGACTGTCTGTAAACTTTTACACTCCTGGGCAAGTTCAAGTAGACACCCCTTACTAGCATACTACACATGTTCGGTACTCTTTACGAATTTACATTCTACTGCATGGTTGGATCCAATACTGAGTTTGAATTAAGAAATATAGTGAATTGGTCAAGCGAAT